CCCAGAGCCGGCGCTCTAGGCTCTGGTGCTGCGGGAATCGAAAAAAGAATCGTTCAGCGAGCTGCCAAACGATGCCATGGAATCGGAAAAAAAGGAACCGGTTCTTAACAGGAACCGGTTTTCGATTCCCATCCCTAAAGGCCAACATGACGTTAAGACTTTTAATCCTACAGAAAAAAAAAACCTTAGGTCTTTGCTTAGAAACCAGATCCCTGAATTTAATAAACTCTCCTAGAATTACTTTGGACTTCTGTGCATCAGAAAAAAAAAAAAAAAACACCATTAGCACCATCTCATAGAACCAGCTAGTACCTTGGGTAGATTTTGCGAGGACGATGCAGAAGAAGCAGAGGAAACGGTTGAGGAAGCAGTGATCGGTGCAGAATGGTGAAGATTTCGGTTCTGAGCTACAGAAACAATCTAAAGTAAATGGAAAAACCCATGATTAATAATGTGAAAGGACCTGAAACAAACAGAAGAGTAGTAGTGCTGCTACCTGAGTGATGGGCGTCTTCAGCAGAGGTAATCCCGCAGAGCCATTGACGATCTGGATGGCAGAGGGCAGCGGCGCCTTGCTGGTCCCATTGTGGACGATGGTGGGGACATGGCTGACTGTAGCAGCAGTGGATTCTTTTCTCTCTGATTCTCTGGATATAGAGACAGAGTGAATGTCTGAGGGCTGCTCTTCAGAGATGGAGTGAGACACCACAATCCGCTTGGATTCAGACTTGCCCTTCAGCATCCTCATGATCGGGGTTTTAGTGATGGAAATCTCACTGTCTCTGCACATCTCCGCCCCAATCACCAAATTCTGCTCCACCACTACCCTCCTGTCCCGTTTTCTCAGCTGCAGAGTAGTATTCAAAGTGCTGGGGTGGACCCTGGCATTGTGCAGAGCTAGCCCCTCAAACTTAGGTGCTGAAACCCCACAGCTCATGCACATGAAGCCTGGGTCCGCCCGGAAGTCCGGGTGCCCTGTGTAGACGTGATCTAGGAACAGGTTGAGGTCGTGAGTTTCGAAATTGCACGGCTTACAGGTGTAAGTGCCGCCGCCGTCCTTATCTGCATCCCCCGTCTCTGGTTTGGAGGAGTCGCCCACATTCAGAGGGGAGCGCCTGTCCCCGCAGGAAACCCTGGGGTGACGGAGGGGAACCGGAGAGTCCCGCTCAACCTCCTCTACCGAGCGGATGATCTTACTGGGGATCATACATGGCGTGGTGGACTTCCTTCTGCTGGCCATGGTGTGATCACAGGGTGGGGAGGGCCGGTCAAATGGCTGAGGGGCGGGAGAGAGAAGATGGATTCCTTCTTCACTACACACCAGGCATGAGGAAAGTAGAATTGAGGGGCTTGTCCATAGGTCCCCACCTAGTAAATCTCAGTACAGGTTCAAGTCAAACCCTAAACAGGGGGGAAGAAAATGGAAATATGTTTGGTTAGTCAGACATAAAGACAAGTAAACAAAAACTAAGAGAATTTCTTACTTAGGTTTTCATCATGCTGGATAAAAAAACAAAACAAGACACCTAATGTAACAGCAGAACCTTCAGTGTAAAAACATCCTGAAGAGAAAAAAAAATAGTTTATAGCAATAAACCAAGCTAAGGCTAAACTTCCCGTCATTTATGATGCCATTCAGTCTCCGTCTGCCTCCTCACTCCAGGCTTTTTGGGAGAGCTCCTGTCCTACCCCCAGTTCTCCCCTCCCCCATGGAACTGCGTCTCACTTCCTCCCTTTCAGACACACCCCCCCAGAGACAGCAAGCTGGATTTCTTTTTAAACCCACTGCCTGTGAAGTGTCAGTGAATACATTTCTAAACACTGCAAAATAAATCTATATTGGATTATTCTGTTTGGGTTCTTGACAATGAAGCTACTGTGCGTTTTGAGAGTTTTTTTATTTTTATTTTTAGTAGACGTGTTCCTGAGCAATCAGATCCAACAGAAAGAAACCTGCATCTCAAAAATGTTCACTTCACCTCCAGAACCTCAAGTCCTTATATGGAAAGGGCGAAGCTTCCTGTGGAGTGGAGGGGTTCGCTCCCTTCCTCTCCACCTAACATGGAGGCGGTGATGCCGTATTGAAGGACAGCTCTAGGGCAATTACTCTCCCAGTCAGTCTGCCCCAACATGACATCTCATGCACAGAGCAGGAAGGAGCTCACTGAGCTTTCGAAGTTGAAATGCAGAGGATCGAATCTTCATGCAAAGACTTTTTTTTTATGCATTCAACATCCAACCCACTTCAACAGAACCTTTACTCCGTCTGGCTGTGCACGAAGCTCATCTGAGGCTACCATCACAGCTGGTAAACCTCTTCCTGCACCATATCTTAGTCGAGGTGTGAAAGAAGCTGACTGGATGTGATCACTCTCCTCTGGTTGCTTTCTCCTTACACTGACAAATGCATGAATAAATTCTTGGTTTTCTTTACACAGGGGTCACAGTATATGAACTCAGAGCTCAGTTTACCTTAACAAGACTCTGGTGTCACTCAACATACAAAGAGTTCACTTTGTTCTATTCTATAAAGGCACAGGGAGGCCAGAATAAAGTCAGCCCCAATTTGAACATATGCAAAATAAAAATCAAACTACAAACCTGAGTCTAATTAGTTAAAATCTCTACCAATCTGGACCTAAGGATGGACCGTGTGTGTGTGTGAGGGGTTCACAGGCAGCTGAGGGTCGCTACGCTTCTTCCACCCCACTGAGAGAAACTGCCCTCCGTTTGGGCCGCCATGCATCCCCCCGCCACCCCTGCCATTCAGTTCTGCATCAGGGGGCACCGCTCTGCCAAGCCAGGCTGGTCACATGGTCGACACAATGGCTTATGGGTGGGCAGTCGCAGTCATCCATCACGTGGTTGTGCTGGGTGTGGGTGGCAGGAGAGAGGGAGAGCGAATGGTAGATGGTGATGATGGTAGGGGGGATGGGCAGGCCGTTTGGGGGTGGGTGGGGGGGAGAGAGTTTTAACTAACGTGAAGGAAGCACAGAGGTGTTTCTGTGAGGAATTTTCCTCCACCGTACCCCACCACTACTACCCTGCAGCCAGCCTACCCCCGCATTTCAGAGCCCCCTTCTTGCTCCGAGGTGCAATCACACAGCGTCTCCCTCCCCTCCCCTCCTCTCCCTCCTCGCTGCGCTGAGCTGCGAAGCCTGGAATGTTCTGCCAATGAACATAACCTGGAGTTCATGAAAAAGTTCAATCTAAAACCAGCACACAGTGTTAGTGAGCAAAAAAAGATCTGTTTCAGACGAAGTGGGAGCTGTCACTGACGGGAACTGACCAACATCAGCTGGGCTAAATCGCCCGTTTAGGTCTCAGGCGACTTCTATCGACTGATGACTTTTACACTAATTCTAGGCGTTTACCGCGCCGACTGACCACGCTGGCCTAAATGTCTCTGTATGAGTTCTGTGTGCATTAGTCAACATTTGTCTGTGTGGATTTCCTGTGAGATTTAGAGTAAAGAGCAGGGAGTGGGTGGGTCGATGTGCATCTGTATGTAACGTGCGGGGGTGGGTGTCTGCGTGCCTCTGTGGGAAGCCTGTTTGCAAAGGTGGTGAGGCTGCCATTTTTTTTTTTACCATGCAAAAACTGACGCCTCCCTGTCACACAGAGAGAGATGTCCAGGTTAAAAGCTAGAGATACACCAATCAATCAGAGACTGGAATGGCCAGTATTTGTCTGATCAGCTCTGATTGGAGATCAACGGGTGAATATGGAGAAAATAATTATATATTTTCCTCCTCTTGACTGCTAAATGCGTTAAAACTGAGAACATTCACATTTTCGAATCTTAAAACTACAAGTGCGCCAACAAGCTGGTTAGAGGTCTAAATGGTGTGATCATGTTCCTTTAAGTGATGCTGATCTGTGTTTATCACAGCAGGTCAAGTTATTTTATCATTTCTTCCATTAAAAACATCAAAACTATGTCTGCTTTTTAAGATTATTAAAATCAGATGAAATGAGAACCTGGTCTCTGATGGATTAAACAGGAATAATCTGTTCCTTCATTCTGTTAGTGTTAAGATGACCACCTAAAAAAAAAAAAAAAAAAAAAAAAAAAATTATATATATATATATATATATATATATATATATATATATATATATATATATATATATATATTTCTTATTCTAACGTACAACTGCTTTTAGAAACAAGGGATCACAAAAGAGAAAAACTGGTACTGTGAGGGAAATAGCCTGCTTAGTTCACCTCTGTTTAAAACCCAAGCTATCTTGACTTTAGCCCAGCATGACCTCCTTTCATCACATGACCCCGACTCTTGAATCTGATATACACGCTCTGAACACGCACCAAATAACAAGCCCAGACACACCTGAGAAAGGTGGCAGATGTTACTCTGGGATCTGTTTGGAGCAGCTAACGTTGCCCTGATGAGAGCAGAGCTCAGGCCGTTCCTTGTTTTCTCCCATTTCATTCCTCCCTCTTCCCCCTCTCCATTTTAAACATCTCTGCACTCTCTCCTTCCCCCTCCCGCTGTTCCCTATCCCCGCCTCCCTCTCTGAACAACTTTGGCACTCAGAGACAGGTCGGCAGCGGCACTGGTGTGTTACTGTCCCCATGGCAACCACCTCCTAGCCACCCCACCACTCGCTCAGTTCTCTAAAGCACATGCATGTGGGTAAACACACACATAGATCTCCTATGCCATCCAGTCCCTGGCCTGAGTGGGGCTTGTTTGTTGCTCACACCCCTCACAGTGGTATTTGGAGAGTCCCTGCCCTGCTCCTATTTCAGTGTTGCTTCCCGCACGCCGTGCTCACGGTTCTCTGATAGGTGTGGTTGCAGCCTGCATTGGTCAGAGCTGACAGCGTCTCTTCCTGACTGGGTTCTGTCCAGACATCTGCCATCCTGCCCTGTCCCCCCCCCCACCCCCCACCCCCAGCTCACTCAGCGGTCCTGCCGGGGCCTCGGAAAACATCGGGTTGCTATGCTCACTGTTGCAAGAGCTACGCCAGATGCTCCCTTCCTCAATCAGGGGAGGAGGGCCCTAAAAACAGCCTCAAACCCCAAGTGTGTTCTAAGCAATTATGAAGTCTGCACCTACGCGGCAGGAGCCACCCTGTTCCACCTCTGCATCCTCCGCCATGTTTTTTTCTTTGTCTTAGAGCAGAATAAAAAACGCTTGTCTCAGCTACTTCCTCACACCGTCAACCAGCACCTACCGGCTAACCTCCACCTGTCAATCAAAATCATATATGTGTGCATCCCACACTTGTGTCCATCATCGTCTTGATTCTTTCACACAATACTGGCAGCAAAGAGGGAACCTAAATTACAGTGCTTCTACGGATTCCTTCCTCTGATCCCTGAGTGGCAATGTGGGCTGCTCCTCAGGTCATGGAGAGGATGGGCTGCGTGGGCTGCGCTGCTGCTGGTGCATGGATTTAAACTGGACTGCTGAGAGGGGAGGGAGAGAAACATGGCGGCTGCTCTTTGTAGTCCAACCTAAAATGGCTGACATCACAGGCTGTTCACCAGGCAAGCAGAACGGAGATGCTGCATTTATCCAAAGGCCTACAGGCTTGGTCCGGGTTTTTTTTTTGTTTTCGTTCATACCTGGTAAGAAATGAATCATCATCATCAGACGGGTTGATAGAAATAGAAAAGTGCAACCGACTCATTAAAGAACTTATTAAATACATAAAAATTGGAGTTACTGAGGCAAACATAAAGCAAGCTGAAGGGTGAAATGGTCATAGCATAAATGCATATACCAACTTTTTGTGCTTCTGCTGGTTTAGTTAAACCTGCAAAGAAAAGACAGCAGTGAGTGCAGGTGAGGAACACAAACACTCAGCACCATCTTATTTTCTAGCTGCACTGCAGCTACAGTTAAATTAGAATAAGAGATTGGACTGGATGAGATTGTTGTATCACAGATTGGAATAATACTAGTAGTATTAAAGCTAAAATGCCAGACTGAATAAAAGTTTGAAAGGAGACCGAGGCAAATTTGAATACAAAGCTTCAGAATATGTTCAAAATTCAGTCAGTGTTGATTAGCCAGTTTCATGTGGGAAAATCAGATGGTGACTTCATTTAATTTGCTTTAACCTAAATTGGCCGTGACTGCTGGTTGGCTGGATGAAAACTGAAAAATTAAATGTGTGAAGAGGTATGCCTGCAACCTGTGAAAGAGCTAGACTTTCAGCAGATAACAGGAGGTTTTAACACAGTTGACCATCCATGACCTCTGATATTTATATTCTCCATGTAACCATCAGCAGTGATGTGGCAAGTGGCTAACAGTGAGGGTGAACTAAGAGTGATAAACAGAAAGCTGGATTAAGCCGTGTGTCTAACCTGAGGGTCACATGGACGTCAGACACAAATTAGCTTCCTGAAAAAGCTTTGCTTTAATCCTGGGATTGACACACTAATCACAACAATATCAAGACGCACACAAATTCACCAATCAGACTTTCTTAGACATCAGTTTCCTTATAGATCTAATCTTCTGATTCTGGTAAAAATGTGCTAGTATGAAGGCAGGGTTAGCTCTTAATGCAAAATAAACTAAAAGGTAAACAAGTTAACTCTTCTTTACGCATCAAAGCACATGTCTTTAACCACCTGATTTGTTTTCAGCTCAAAAAAGGTACATCAAAAATAAAAGCTTTCTTTAAACACTAACATAGATGGAGTTGTAGATTGTGTTAAATGACAAAAGAACAAATAAATCAGATTTATTCTGCTGGACCACCACCTTTTGATAATCTGTAGTGCTTTATGACAAAGATGAATTTTTTATTTCACTAATAGTTAATAATCAACACCAATTAGAGGAATCTGGGCTGATTGACTGCTGCATCTTAAATCATAACTTTAACAGCTCACACACTGCAACATTGCTGCTTATTATTCTTAAAACCATCCGTGTTAGATCATTAAAACTAAAGGCAGTTTAAGTCATAATAGTTCTTATATATTACCTGTACGATTTAAAAAGGAGAACACAGACAGGAGTGCTTTGAACCGCTGTCATTTCTTATTTCTTTCATAATTTTTAGCAAATTGCGTTTTAACGTAAAAAATAAGCAACATAGGTCTAATTGATATCAATTGAATAAAGTATTTTTAATCTAGAAACGGGGTGTATTTTTGTAAGAAGTGTCTCGGTGAGTCCCTAAGAGCAGCAGCTTCTATCGTATCTGAAAATGATGCATCTTCCGCTCAACTTCAGGCGGAGTGAGACGCAACTTGATGTGCTCATATTCATAACCCAGGGTTTGTTTTTTCTTTCAGGCAGTAACCAATTCAGACCGGAGGAAAGAGGCGAGCCCCCCAAGTACCCCCAAAACTACACCGCCTCTCCGTCTCTCCCACCCCCGTCGGCTGTCGCCATTTTAAGCAGGCGACATGCAGCTGGCCGCCGCTGCTGAGCCAAAGACCACAGAGGTGAAGCTTTGCCCTCAGCTCCACTAAGTTTTAGTTAAGGTGAAACCCTGCGAAAGATGAACGTACTCACCTCCCTTTGCTGGAACTCAGTGAAGGGTTGAAAATATAAATAAAAAAGTTTACATTGAACGGGCACACAGAGGAGCCACTAATGGACTTAACGGATGAACTTCTAGGTGGAAGGAGACCCCTCCGTCCATCGGCTCACAGGCAAACGTGACAGCCGGTGTCAGGCAGGTCCCGGGCGGCGACACTCTTTCACAGGGTCCTTTCTGTTCGTCTGGCTCGGCTCGGCTCTGCTCTCGGTGTAGAAGCGGAGGGGAGGAAAAATACGACGGACGTACCGAGGGAAGAGACGCACACGTGATGCAGACGTCACTGACGGTTGAGTTGGCGTGAGGGCTCAGGCTCCGAGATGCTGAGGGAGAGAAAGTGAGTGAGATTCACCGAGCTGACCCCTAACCCCCCACTATGAGGTTTAACGCCCGAGAGGGGCGAGGAACGGTCAGAGAGGCACTTTGGCGTGATGTTCACCAACTCACACCTGTCCCCCTCCTCTCAGGTAACCGCTCTTAAAGAGACAGAGGTGTTGCCACAACATTTTAATGTAGACTGAGGGGTGGCTGAAAATATATAGGCACCAAAACCTCACGGTCAATATACACTGTTCCAACAGGAAAATTAACAAGCAAAACATCCATATTTTCTAAATAAAGACAAACCATACTTTCCCACAGACTTTGCTAACAATTAGACAAATATATATTCAAACAGCCATGCTTTCTACATAAAAGGTATAGTGGATAAAATTCTTTCAGTTTTGAGATCTGAGGGCGTATATCTTTTCCATTGTCATTACTTACCTACTTTTATCAATAATAATTCTGCATTAAATTGATTTTTATGAGTACTAATTTGAACATAACATACATTTTTATTAAAATTTTTATTTATCAATGATTTCACTGAAGACTCCTAGATGACTTGCAGAGACACATTATTTTCTCTTTACCCCATAAAATACAAAATCTATTTCTGCTTGAATTCTGTACTTCATCAATTTTAATGTTAGTATATTGATGTGCATAATTATCCACAGTGTTTTTGTTGTCAAGTAATTGTTAATATATGAAAAATTTAAATGTTTTGAATATTCCACTTGAGATTATTACTCTTGCCACCATCTGTATTAGAGGGAAATAAATGGTAGGGGTGGCCACAGGGGTGGCCAATGATTGGCTAAGGGTGGCCATGGCCACCCCTGGCCACCCATCTATCTCCACCCCTGTAAAGAGATAGTCACTGAAAGACATCCAGAACCATGGAACCCTGACTGCAAAAATACATCTTTTTTTCCCCATCAGTGTCATATAATATAGTAAATTCAAACGTCAGTGTAATTTATTGGTATAATATGGGATGGACCAACACATAGCTGAGTAAATCTTGCTTTTACAAATCCCTTGGGGTATCCAGTTTCACACATCTACTCAACTTTCTTTAGTCAGTTCTGGTAAGAGTTTCCGCCACAGGTTTTCAGTTGAATTTAGGTCTAGACTTTGACGAGGACATAATAGTATTCTTTTATCTGGACTTTTGCTTGGATCGATCCATCCATCCATCAATATCATGATGCTGCCACCACAATTCTTCACTATGTGGCAGGGTTTTCAGGCTGAACAGTTTTACTGTTTTGCAATGCATAGCACTTTGCATCTAGGATTTACATACTGGATATAACCAGTCATGTCAAAAGTACATACATCTGTTACTTGAGGTCGAAGTATAGATACTGTAGTTTAAAAACACTCTGGTAAAAGTTGAAGTATCAACTTGACCTCTTTACTCAAGTAAAAGTGAAACAGCATGTGCTCCAAAAACTACTTAAAGTATAAAAGTATAAAGTAACCTTTAAAAAAAACAGCCAGATGCCACTATATGAATTCAAAGCTTAATTTTTAGACTATTTCGGAAAATTCTTTGAGATAGGGCCAAGGATGAGGGAGGTCTTGTTGGTCTCCATCTCCCGATACGCTCTCGCCTGTGTCCGACCTTTCAGACATTTCGACATCTTTTTCTGAATCCGACATTGTGGAGGCAATGATCTGCATTGGATGGCACAAATTACGTGAAAAAAACATTTATAAACATCAAACCGCAGCCAAGAGTAACGAGAAACTTTTGTTTTAAAAATGCAAGGAATAGAAAGTACAGATACTTGTGTGAAAATGTAATGAGCAGAAGTCAGTATTTGTACTTCATTACTTGACACTTCTGGATATAACATTTCATACTTCCCCTGTCCCCTACTTGACTTCTTAAAAGAAGCAAATGGTTTCTTTTTTATACGTCAACATATTTATCATTCGGAGCTGTGGATGTCCACAGCTTCTCTAGAGTTACCATTGGTCTCTACCATACATCTCTGGATATAATCTCCTTGGTTGGCCTGTCGTTGTAGGTGCACAGCCATTTTCCAAAGTGTTTCTCATAATTATAATCAAATAACTAATGTTGAAATATTCCAGACTTTTAATAAACAAGTCAAAAAAAGGAATAAACTAAAGGTGTATCTGTAGATCACCTTAGAAGAACTTAGTTTTACATTGATTAATGAATACTGAACAATATTTCAAAATATTACCCTTCTTCTTTGGAAGTGATGCAGATGTGAAATCTCTGTTATGTTAACAGAGATTGCCATAATATATATTTAGCATTGTTTTCAGATTTATTCAGAGAGCTTCCTGCAGATTAACCAATCGAAACAGTTCATCATGTTCAACATGCATTGATTTATTATGCATTGATTTATTAAATGTCATTAATATATGCAGTAAATGTTAATTGAATCATGGCGCAGCTTCAATGTGCTTTGTTTTTCTTTCAGTTTGTTTGATTCTTGGTAATAGTTATAAACCGCAATATAAATGTATACCATTTATCTATCTGCTAATATTTTTGCATATCAAGAGCAGTGAAGGCCTTTTAATAATTTAATGCCCTTTTAGTTGAATACAAATCAGGTGGTTAAAGACATATCCTTTGATGTGTAAACTGAGGCTAACTTGTGTACCTTTTCTGTTGCATTCAGAACTGCTAATGCTGATGTCAAACCAGTGGTACATTTTTTTTCTCTTTTGTGTTGTAGCCCCTAGATTAAAGAAAAGGCCAGAATCAGAAGTTCCGATTGATGAAACTTAATTAGATTTATAAAGCAGACCTTATTATTCACTTATTTCCTATCTTATAAAAAAAGAATTCAGCCATAGGCCCCTTAACTCCACCATTATGCCCGTCCCTCAATTGTCAATGATCAGAATGGAAGGATCCAGTATTCAGGCAAGACTGACAGTGGGATTAATTCAAAAAGCATTTATTAAAATAAACAGACTGCAGATCTGCAGTAGCAGCAGATAAGACGTCTGAAGCTGGAAGCAGAGGTTAGTGACCATGTAAATCTAGCGGAGGAAAATTGAATGTGAGTCACTAACCTGGTTTGCAAGTTCAATCCATGCCTAGAGAATGAGGTAGGATCCAGCCAGTGGCTACTAACAAGATGCGGCAGGAGCTGCTCAGAATGTCCCAGATGCTGCAACCCAGGCAAGCAGGAACAGGAACAGGCTGGCTCAGTGGTTGAGAGGCAGACCAGGCCAGGATCACGTAATCCAAAACACTCAGGTAGGCTAAAAACACTCTCACATCAGGTTCAAGAGAAATAATCTGCCCCAGATGACTGGATGCAAGCAGCCTAAATAGAGACAGGAGCTGGTGGATCAGATGAGAGGTAATGAGAAAACAGGCAGAATTGAACGGGTGAATTAAATGAGTAATTAAGCCAGTCATCAGCACCAATATCATGACATCACTTATTGTTTTTGAAGTGTGAATCACTTTAATTAGTTATTGACTTTTTGTTATGACTGTATTTGCAGTGATGATACAAACAGAAATAAATTATATTTGCTTGCTGTAAAAATATATATTTGTTTTGAAAATCACACTAATACATTCAAATCAATTAGATTTATTTCACACAAAATGCTTATAGCCCTAAAGTTAGATTAATTCTAGCTATCGATATTAATATCACTATTATTTCTTCAAAGAACAGAGGCTTCGGTTTAAACTTTGGTGAGTTTGGACCATTCAGCTAATACAGTCAAAATTTTACCCATTATTAATCACAGCAATTTATTTCCATTATCAACCACTGCTTTTGGTGTAGATGAATATTGTGTTATTTATGTATTTAGTTATTTATTTTACTTTAAACTCTTTCTTCACTGTTCAAAACACGGATCGCTATTTATTCACTGTATTGCTGGTATTACACAGTGCTGTGAGGTCACTAGCCGCCATATTGGTACTGCCTAGTTAGACCGGTCGGAATGTAAACAATACGTCCACTACAGCATTGAACAACGATGATTTTCCCGTTTTCAGGGTGACTTGAGGCTTTTAAAATAAATATAAAGTCATCACTTTGACACACACTTGCTGTTTCCTGGCATCTGTAGATTATTTTAAGTAGACACATCACATTGCATATCCAGTATGAAGTTCTTGAAATCTAATAATCATGTAATACAACATATTATACAAATCTATCACAACAAAATTAGTGTGTTAATGGCATAAGCATAATAATATGATTATATTATATTATATTATATTATATTATATTATATTATATTATATTATATTATATTATATTATATTATATTATATTATATTATATTATATTATATTATATTATATTATATTATATTATATTAAGAAATTACACACGCACACACGCACACACAAACACCCACCCACACACGCATACTCGTTCTGCCGTTATAGTGAGGACCATGTTTTGACTCCCATTGGCTTCCATTGATTTTCAGTCATTTTCAACCCTATCTATGTCCTAACCCTAAAACTAACCCTAAACATAACTATTACCAATGCATACCTTGCCCTAACCCTAACCAATTGACACCTTAGCTCTAAACCTAACCATAAGCAAAACAGCATGTGAGGACCCCCAAATGTCCTCACTTTGCAAGAAGTGGTCCTCAATTTAAAGTTGAAATTGGAGAAATGGTCTAGACAGGTACATACACACACATACCCCCCCCCCCCCAATCATGCTAAATAGATGATGTACATGTAATATACATTTATTGTTTACATTGTTATGGTAAATGAATTACAGGCATTTTATAGCACAACTCTGTGAAAGTGGGGAGTACCAAGATGGCGGCCGCTGACTTCGGTTTTTTCGGTCTATCAGCATTCCAGTGAATAAATAGAGATCAGTGGTCCAAACACTCATTAACTACCCCATGACATTCAGCAAAGCACTTTACACTACATTCAGTCATTCACCATCACTCACACACTGATGGTGGTAAGCTACATTGTAGACACAGCTGTACTGGGGCTCACTGACAGAAGCTAATTGGCTTCTCTAAATTCTTCTGTGAGTGTAAGTGTGAAGGGGTGTATTTTCTGTTTGTCTCTGTGTTCCCCTGTGATAGATTGGCGACCTGTCCAGGGTGTACCCCGCCTCTCGCCTCTAGACAGCTGGAAATAGGCAGCAGCACCCCTCGCGACCCCAGCTGACATAAAGCATGATGGAAAATGGATGGATGGTTGGCTGATTTAAGGGGCTACCACTAAAGCCACTGGGGTGTCAGTGGTTTACGAGGTATGGGTAACCTGTAACAGGTATGTTAATGGTTCAAGCCCCCCCTCTGTCCCTTTCTCAGCCCTGGTATCCAAGGAGGTCGAAGTGGACGAGTCACTAATTGTATGGCAGCTCTGTTTCTATCAGTCTGCCCCAGGGCAGCTGTGGCTACCATGTAGCTGAATAGGAGTATTTCTTAATGAGCATTTTACATTACTTATTTTTTATGAAAAAAAAAAACAAGTGAACTCATAGTGAGCAACCTGACACACTCAGCAAAGATCATTTTATTAAGAATTAGACAAATGTAGGAATTCAACTTGGAACAACAAAAAAGTAAAAAAATGAAATATATCACTTTATTTTTTTTTTACTTTACATTTTTATATTATTTTTTACTTTTTTACTCGTGACTACTTCACTGTCAGAAAATGGAACTGATTGTATAAAAGTATGAGTATTTCACCTTGGTCGGATGTTATGGTGAAGGTCTGCTTCATAGTTCTTGATCAAAGGCAGATTTCTGATGATTTGGAGCCCCAAACTCCAAATATACAAATGATAACCAAATCTGCAGTGAAAGAGCTCACTGTTATTTAAATCTCAAGGAGAACCTAATGCTATAAACGACTGTCATGCTTCTTTACTATAAAACAGCAAATAATAAGTTCTCAGCAGCCAAAAGGCATTTCCCTCTATTAACAAACCACAGTAAGAGACACTTTGCAGTTCCAGACTTTAACTGGGTCGTTGCACGATATATCAGAGTCACAACCGTGTCATCTACGTAGCATGAAAATCCCCCGAAAACACCACCCAAGCCAATTTTACCCCACTTAGACTGATTTAAAGTGCACAGCAACAAGCAGAAAAAGACAAATTATTACATTATTATGAATTCTGACATGTATTTATATTTTGACTTGCAGCCCCTCTAAACACGTGTCATCTGACCTTTAACATGACCTGAAACGCTGGAAATTGGGATGACAGAGTTGATCTTGGAAGTCCTACTAATCCTTATCCCATGAACGCACAATAGGCACATATGTGTAGTGAGAAAAAAATTCGGTGTCTTTTAAAATATTATATATAACATTAGGTTTTAAAGTTTGATTATTTTCTCTTGGACTTTTATAGTCCTGCACACTTTTAAAGACAAGACCTTGCAATGAAACAAGTTTGTTTGAAACAAACTCTGATGTCCAATATGTTCTACGTTGTCACTCATTAGGTTACACACACATTTAGTGAAATAGTGTATAAACTCGCTTTATGTGTTCATCTATCCCTTATTTGACCTTGCACTTTCAATGGTAACAATGTACTTGCATATAATTAGCCCAAAAAATACTTAAACCTTGCACTCAATCTTTGCCACTTAGCTTTATTTAAATATAATAAACCTAAGTGACATTAAATATTTAAATTTTAAATACCTTGGCATTATGACTTATCTTCCCAATACATTTTATAATAGGTGTCCAAATAAGGGCCCCCTATAATTTGAAGTTGGCACAACAAAACTTTGGTCGGACCAGATATTTGCAAGTTTTAGTAAGCATATTGCTTTGACCAAACCTAGAATTTAGATTCAAATTAAAAGAAAAACTGCTTGATCCAACTTTGGAATAATTTCAACAACCCATAAACCATTTGCTCATGATCTGAGGATTTGTGAGAACAACAATATTAAGTTCTGTTTTGGTGAAATACTGCCTTTTGCTTTATTTCATCCTTTACCTTAATGATTAGATCCATGTGTTATTCAAAATTTTTACTATTTAAAAAGATAGTTTTTACAGATAAACAATTTAATCTATTTCTAAGCTTACCTGTATTTCTACCTATTTATCAGACCTTGTTTCAAGCAAATTTAAGGAAAGTTGTAGTTTATCTAACTATTTGTCTATTATATCCAAATTTATGATAAAGATAAAAGGTATGGTGGAAAAAGAAGTTTTCTTTGAGCAAGATGGATAACTGCAGCCTTAGAGGGGGGGTAAGGATGTCTTCCCTTGGTATCACCATATTTTTCTGCGCTGTTACACCTTCTGTTCTATTCAAGCCTGTAAGATCTTCAGGGCAGTTAATAGACATACCAGGATCCAATATAAAGTTGATATTGTAAAGAATGCTTGCCTAACCTGCATGAACCCCACAGAGCATAAATTACCTACAGATGTATATCAGATGTAAAGACCGACTGATGCAGCTAAAGTAATCTGCACCTTTGATTACCTGCATATTGTATTGCATTGATGCAGTGATTCAAGTTAACTCAAGGAGATTTCTGTGTTTTTATTTAAAGCAGCTGCCAAAGATTAAGATCCTCTGTTTAGACCTCATTTTCAAATTTTTGTCCGTGTTTTTATAACCTAATGCCTTGACAATTGCAAGTCTTTTTTAGCTTGTGTCAGCTTGGCCACTCTTTGACAGCCACAGCTGGTATAGAATGCCTCAGCATTATTTTTAACTGGTAAAAACAAATGTGCGCACATAACATCCAGTGTAGGTATCCCTCCACAGGTATAGTGGATAAAATTCTTTCAGGTTTGAATTTTGGGCGAACATCTTTTCCATTGTCATTACTTACCTACTTTTATCAGTAATCATTCTACATAAAATGTATATTTACAAGTAGTTATATCTTCATAAATTGATTATTTAATACGTTTTTATTAAAATAGTTATTTATCTATGATTTCACTGAAGACTCCTAGATGACTTGCAGAGACACACCATTTTCTCTTTAACCCATAAAACACAAAATCTAGTTCTGAAAAGAAAAAACCTGCAGTGGCGCTTGACGCTGTATGAATTAACAACTCTGGTCCAACAGGGGTCGCTGTGGTTTTGCTTCAGCCTCTTTGCACAAGCGGTGAAGCGGTGTCGAAACGTCGCATTCTCTGATTGGCTGGAGCACACTGGGGTTAAACGACCCTGCGCATGCTCCAGCTCCCCTTTCACAGTTAGCGAGAGAAATCTGTCACCTCAGCAAAGCCAAGAACCCTGTAGTAGCCTTCAATATTCGCGAACTTCGACTGCATTGATCAACATCGGGGAGTTAACTCTCAGGCTACGTGCTTTTAGAATCCGTTTCTAGCTTTTTAACGCCTGTTGATAGAAAGTAGGAGCAGAATGGCGAGCAGTTCTAAACGGAAAGAGGAAAGTCACCTGCTGAATGGGGCTGTGAAACAATCCACATGGAGCAAAGCCTTCTCCGGTAACGCTGTTTGGGAAGAAAAGGCGAGTTATTTAACAACTTTTTAGTTAACTTTTTGTACAGACTTGGTTTCTGTTTTCTACAGTAAGTCCTTAGTCCCATACTCCCCTGTCTAATGACAGCTAGCCGAAGCTAACCCCCATGCTAAGGATTAGTTCAGCTGGCTGTCATTCGAAATTTACGTTGTTTTTATTGTCTTGGTGGTAAACTTTTCTAAACAGCACTGGCTACTTACACATTTAATACACCTGAATGAATAATAAAGTAAATTTATCCTTTAAGTAAACAAAGCTCTCTTAACTTAAATAGTTTTATGTTATTAAGAGAATTTCAAATAGTTTCCAATTGGTTTATTTATATGATCAGGAACTTCATTAGGTCTTTTTTTTTGTTTACAATGGGCAACATGGTGACTGAATGAATATGTATTGCATATTGTTAATTGTCTGTCATTTTTTTTTATTCACAGGATGAGTTTTTGGATGTGATTTATTGGCTCCGACAAATTATTGCTGTTATCCTTGGTGTGATATGGGGTGTTGCACCTTTGAAAGGATTTCTAGGAATAGTAATGTGGGTTTTGTGTGCTGCCTTTCAAAATCCAATATTTTCCATCTAAATATTACTGTATGGATTAAAAAAAATAAAAAAATTTCTTTTCATGCTTGCCTCTTTAGTTTCTGCGCCATCAATGCGGGGCTCCTGTACCTATACTTCAGTAGCTTTCAGCAGATTGATGAAGAAGAGTATGGAGGCACATGGGAACTCACCAAAGAAGGCTTCATGACATCTTTTGCCCTTTTCCTGGTAAGTGTACAAATTTATATAAAATAAACTTTTTTTCTTTGTGAACTTATCAGAATAGGTGAGGTTTACATGAGAAAAAGGGATAAGAATATTTTTAAAAGGATTTTATATTCTTTTTTATTTTATTTGAAATAATATTTTATAGTCTTTTGACATTTACTTCTTGAAAATTAGCGGTGGACAGGTGCAAACATAGTAGATGTCATAAAATTTTTATTGCTTCTTTTCAACTGAAATCCCAAGGATTTCCTTTCATAGCTACAGCCCAAACAAAAATGTTTTTTTTAGTTCAAATGGTACTGGGAACTGATACAATGACTGTCTGATTATAAGTAAATATATTTATATCGAATAGAAATTGCAGACAGTGGAATTGACACTGGCAGGATTTGGGAGCAGGGAGACAGTCACTGCATCCCAACCTTGGTCTCTTGCTTCCTGCAGAGCTGCCACCATAAAAGGAAGGAAACGTGAACATTTTGTTCCTTGCATGCAACTTAGTTAAGTTTACATGAAAAGCCAGTCTGGGGAATACGTATAAAGTTTATAATGAACAAGGTAAAGTTAGTGTGATCTGTTTGATTATTACACTTTTAAAAAAATGCTGTTACTAAGCTATAGCAAAACAGTTTCTAATTAATTTGTTCCTAAACTTACAATGTCAAACCTTTCTGATTAAAAATATTTTTATATTTTGGTACTTGGATTGCAGCAAATCCCTAAGAACCTGAATGGGGTGAGGCAGCTCCTATAGCTCTTAGTTGCCATCACCAGGTTGACTTTACTAGCCTAGCAGCCAGATCAGGCTGAGTTTTGATGAGTTTTATGCTTAATAACATCTTCAAACTAAAATTTGTAACAAATTAAAAGTATACGCCACTTTCAACGTAAAATTTGTGATCTATCAAACAAAAATGGTGTGAAAATGCGATTGCAAATGCTACCTGGGCTCTAAAAAGCTCCAAGGGCTGATGATGCAAACTCAAAAGCACATATAAACAAATCCAACAGATGAAATGTTTCGTTGCTAACCTCTGCTGCAAATGTGTATCTGTCAGCCTCCTAGAAAATCTATATTGATCTTAGACTAATTGTTTTGACTTGTATTGAAGAAAAGCAGATTTTAAATAATTAGATTGTTCCTCTTTCTTAAATTAGGGAATATCTAAATTACATAAAGTGCCCTAAAAGTACACTTAAAAATATTCATCAGTTTTCAGGCGTATTTGTGTGCTCACCTTTCTCACCGAGGTTCTTTGAAAATGGCAGAGTGTTATAAGAGAAAAAGTGTCTACGAAGTGTATGAGGAGAAAAGAAAGGCCTCAGAAGAGACAGATGTAGACTGGAAGGCTTTGCGTGGAGAGCTCTTCTCGCAAAGCATTATGGGATTTGCTTTCACCTGACAGTGGCGACTAATAACAAAGATGGCACAGGCACCGTGCGGTGGAGGAGGAGTTATGTGACCTACAGGGAGCAAAAAGTAGTTCATATCTGTCCGAACAGTCAAGTTTACTGAGTTCGCTATAAAGTCCTCACTATATATAGTGATAGAGGGATTTAGGGGTTAGAGCGGAGGTTTGGACACAGTAAGCTTGTATGAGCTATGAGAAGATTTTTAAACAGAGCGTGCACGAGGAGAAATGGAATCATGCGTGCTCTTGCACACGTGAAGAGGGCGGGTCTTAGCGAAATTGGCGAAAAATCCTCCACAATAAACATTTCTTCTTGAACTCTGGTCGTAAATACAGGAGCCAAATCATTTATATTTGGATTTAATTTGATGGAGGATTTTTTAAACAGCAAAAAGAAGGTAAAAAATATTAAACTTTCCTTTTTTCTGTGCTAGGAAATGTTTTCTCAGATATATGTAGCTGAAATGCCCAAATTGAACCTCAATTTGAAGTTTTTGGCTCATTTAAAAATGATACTGAACTAACCCTGTTTTTATACAGGAACTGTTTAAAAGGGAAAAAAAACATAATAAACCAAGAAGTACCTTTTTATTTTTGTTAACCTTGATCCCTTCAAGTGTCTTGAAAGAAGGAAGAACTTAAAATCAGAGGTGTATGGTTTTCAAAATGATTTGCTGACAAATGAAAACATTTAATATTTGAAGTGTACTTTTGTCACAATGGCCAATATGATCATAACATTAAATGATTTTTGTCTGTTTTTCACCAGGTGGTGTGGATAATCTTTTACACAGCTCTTCATTTTGACTGAGAGATGCATGAGGATATAAATAAGAACATTTTTGTTAAAGTAAGTTGACGGACTGAAGAACTTCAAAAAGTGGGGGTGTGAGTGCTCTACACTAAGACGTCTCTCTCTGTGCAGCATTATGGGAATGCTAAATATCGCTAAATGACATCCAGCAAGAACACAGGGATGAAGACGTTCAGATGCTGTACATCTTTTTCATTTGAGACTTCTGTTTTTTTTAAGGACATATTTCATTATACTTCCCAAATTGTTTATTTCTTCATGTGTTCATGAAAAAAGAAACAAACACTAAAGTTGCAGAAGGTAAAACGTGTTTTAGGCAGGTTACATTTCTGTTTGTTTCGTACAGTACGATTATGTGAAACAGCTCGATCAGCTTACTTCAAATGTATGACTGACTTGATTTCAGTCTTTATATACTGCAAAGATAACAAGCGATGGCTACCAATTTCTGTTTATCGGTTATAGGTGGCTCAGTGAAGTTTTAGGCATAGGACATTAAACACAAAAGTATCATTTCAATATATGGGTTCAGTCTGTGTGAATTATTTTAAATTTAATGTCAGATAAAAGAAACTACCGTTCATATAGTAGAATAACTCTGAATCTTGTATTTTAATCCCTGCTCTGAATTTTTTACAGCTAAATTATTTTTGACTAAATAAGTCGTGATTACCAGTTAGTGTGTTTCTTTAGCTTAAAGGTTTATGTAGTTTGTCTTTAAGAGCAAAATGTAATTTAATTCGATTTTTTTTCTTTGGGGCGGGTGATCAAATGTTTGATGTCTAAAAGCTGTATTCAGACATGGCTTATGAATAACCTCGAACATTAAAACGGATGCTGTCACACTGGTTTGCTCATATTCAGTTATGAACCATTCCCCTACCTGAGCAAAGTGGGGAAAAACAGGTTTATGTTTCGGATGCAAACTTTGATCAATTTTATTTTAAGCTGAAACTGATCTGTTTACTGCCATGCTTTCTATTTGTCTGCCATTATTAAAAGAGTTTAGATAAATTTTTGTTTTGAAAATGTAGCTTTTAGATTAGTCTTGTCTATTTGGAAATGTATTTAAAACTCTAAAGTCTTTATCTTCTTTTCTTGTCAAATCCCAACTTGTATTACACAGATTTGTATTTATGTTATGTCTCTTCTGATGTAACAATTCTCAGTATTTTCTGATGAGGAATGTCTGAGAGCAGTTCTTGCAACGATGTGATGATGCTGTTGTTCAATATGCAGCTGGTGTTGGAAGGGATTGTATTTTCTGATCAAATCTTTTTGGGAATCATTAAACATGGGCTTCATTTGGCCTTCATTTTCAGAGACATGAGTATTTCATTCCAAAGCTTTTTTTTCATGTTTATCTTTGTCTTTTCAAACTATTTTTCCTAGAAATAGTGTTTTCATTTAAATTATAGTTTTAAGATACTGGACACTGGTCAAGATTCTAGGTTCAGTGCCAACATGATGAATGCTTCAGAAAAAACCTGTTTCCCACTGGCTGAAAAAACTATTTAAACCTGGAAACAACCTGCTTTTAGTGGCAGTGGAAACACCTCACTGACGTGTCTGACCTGCGTTAAAATCGCCTTGGCTCTGATCGGCATACTGTGGGAACCTGCCAAATTGTGTGACACCATTGAATGCAACACGCCAGTCGCTTCCGATCTAACAAGCTGAAACAACTCTGTTTACATTCGATAAACATTAGGCAGCACTGGTAGGAAGGATAAAAAGAGCAGAGCAATAAAAGCACACTTGATATGCCCTGGCTTCCATACATGTTGCTCTCCTCCGTTTTGTACTTTCTTGATTTCTGTTACACTGGGGACATCACCAAAGCTGCCCCATCGGGATGGTCTCACCAGACACGCAGCTTGCCAGCGAGGGGTTAGACACGCTTTTTTTTTTTTTTTGCCAGTGGGAATGGGGTAAAATGCTATTAGTTGGGTTGTTGACCCGTGTTTGAAAAACCTGGGTATTTCAGTGAGAGAGAGTCTAAAGACACTGGTCCCAACCACACAGCGAATGAAACTCTTGAGTTTGTTTCGGTGAAACAAAGTAAAGCTGCTAAAGCAGCTCAGCCAATCACCTGAGCGGAATCCTCTAGAATGAACTTGGAAAGAAAATCGTCATATTATTTTTATAGGAGAGTGTAAAGATGGGACTCAAAGAACCTTCAGGAACTTAAGATTGTTTATGAGGAAGAATGGGCCAACATTTCACTTAAGCAATACATGCAAACTGTTTCCATATAGGTGTTCTGAAACTGTCCTCACCAACAGTGTATGCAATACTTGTTTAATATGTCTTTCACTTTAACTAGACACAATTTGTTTTTTGTTTTCAAAATTCAAATTGCTTCGCTTTGTACCTTTTACAGCTGCTAGTAACACTGTCATATATGCTTTTGCTATGCTGATTGTGGCATGTAGTTTAACATCTAATTTGTCAATGCTTCTGTTTTTGTTTTAGTTTTTTACAAAGGTGGCCTTAATTAGGAAAGACATGTTTTATTTATTTATATATATATATATATATATATATATATATATATATATATATATATATATATATATATATATATTAGTGTGTTTGTGCTTTATGTGTGTTTAAAACAGAGTATGGAATAAATTATTTATCATGGAGAGAATATTGCTTCAATATTGTTGAAAGCACAACAAATAAAGGTAATATGGAACTTAATGATGATATATTAATCCTTTTTAAGTTATTTATGCTTGTTTTTTTGCTTTTGCAGATTGCTTCGTCATTTTTTCAACATTCATTTTTTACATATATTTTTGCGGGAAAATGACGTAAACGGTCTTATTTACAGAAGGATAAATGGCATTCCATACGACTAGATATATGTGCAGTTAAAGTATTAATTACTTCCCTCCTCCCGTGTCTGTGCGTGGGTTTATCGATTAACTGGTAAATCGGCTTGCCATACCTGACATCATTCAGAAATCTCTTCGCCAGAAGAAAAAAAAAAGTGACGTAGAAGCCAACATGGCGGCTCCCCGCTCCACGATGAAATTTTGGAAGCCGGGTAAGTGCAAATAAATGAATTAAAAAGTCAGTAGATGTTTTTCGGCGCCATTGTTGTAAATCTGGAGGTTCTGTCGGGAGTCGGTGATAAAAGTGAGTCCGCAGTGGAGCTCAGTGCTGCTGCGTGCTTTCTGCAGCCTGATCGCTTTAACTGTGGATCATCTGAATTCAAGTGTTTACCTGCCAATATGAAACCAGTTTGAATTGATAACAACTTACAGACAGGCTGCAAATAAAAATGCTCCATTGCAGGACGATCTGTTAATCAGTGAAAATCTTCATTTTAATAAAACATCTCCTCCTCTTCGCCATCTGCTCTGCTCCAGGGTCTGAGGCTCCGGGGATCTCAGAGGAACGGGATCTGAGCTCGGAGACCACCGGATCCCCCATCATCTTCAATCCAAACACAGCCCTCTCTATAGAGAAGCAGCGGCAAAAGCTTCCAGTTTTTAAGGTTTCACTCTGCTTCCACACACCTTTCAACGCATTAGCTGCATTATTCCATGAACATCTGTCTTTGATATCTGTTTTTTTCTTATTTATCTCCAATGCAGCACAGAAACAACATATTATACCTGGTTGAAAGCTTCCAGACTGTTATTATAGTTGGGGAGACCGGATGTGGAAAGACAACACAGATCCCTCAGGTTAGTTTCTGCCAAACCTTTAAATAATTAGTCCTGCTTTGCATTAAAGGAATAGTACACCCAAAACATGATTAGCCTTCATTTTCTACTCACCTCCATGCTGAACAACACTCTGGAGTACTTTTTTGATATCTCAAATGCATCTGGAGATCTGGGAGGCTTCTTGCTGTCTGCTGACATTCAAATAATGGAGGTCCATGGCGCCCGAGACAGAAAGGTCCATAAAAGTCCACAAAAACGTGTCAATATTCCTCCATACTGCTCGTCCAATGTAATCCAAGTGTCCTGAGTGGGTAGCATCCAGAATTTACTCGAAACGAAGTCATTTAGAATGTTTTTAGAGCATAAACAGTAGTGTATAGGATTTCCTAATAGCGCCCCCATGCGCGCTCACGATTCTACGGAAGCCGGCAGACCAAACCAGCGCATTCAGCTCGGCAAAGAACTCATGCTCTTCCTCAACACTGAAGTCCTCAGACATTTTTCTTTCGTTGTTTCTTTCTTTGCACAGGTAAACAGCACATTTCTTCTTCTACGCTTGCATTATCGGCAGACCAGACGCTGAATGCGCACTTTCTTCCGGTTTGGTCTGCCGGCTTCCGTAGAATCGTGAGCGCGCATGGGGGCGCTATTAGGAAATCCTATACACTACTGTTTATGCTCTAAAAACATTCTAAATGACTTCGTTTCGAGTAAATTCTGGATGCTACCCACTCAGGACACTTGGATTACATTGGACGAGCAGTATGGAGGAATATTGACACGTTTTTGTGGACTTTTATGGACCTTTCTGTCTCGGGCGCCATGGACCTCCATTATTTGAATGTCAGCAGACAGCAAGAAGCCTCCCAGATCTCCAGATGCATTTGAGATATCAAAAAAAGTACTCCAGAGTGTTGTTCAGCATGGAGGTGAGTAGAAAATGAAGGCTAATCATGTTTTGGGTGTACTATTCCTTTAAGGTGCATTCAGAAACAATTTCTTCCACAGTGGTTCAATATGACCTTGCATGGATGCTTAGCAACCCGTTCCCCCTTTATTGAGCAGAGTTTGGTCCTCATCAGCTAAAATTAAATTTATGCAGAATCTTTCATTCCTGCTTTGTTCTTTTCTTTTGCCTTCAATCAGTACCTGCTGGAGGCTGGCTGGGCCGCGGAGGGGAAAGTGATTGGAGTGACGCAGCCTCGACGTGTGGCTGCTATCTCGGTAAGAGCTCAGCCGATGTCCTCCCACTTTTTTGCCAATGTCATCTGACTGCAGGCAAATTTGGTTCACATCATAGGACACGTGCCCTGCTTCAAATATACTTCTTTGTCCCCATTTTTTCCCCTTCTTGCTGATAGGTTGCTAACCGTGTTGCGGAGGAGCGAGGTGCCCTGCTGGGACACGAGGTGGGCTACACCATCCGGTTCGATGACTGCTCTGACCCCCAAGCCACCAGGATTAAGGTAGCAAGAGGAGGGTGGGCTCAGCCTTCTTGTGTGGTGTCCTTCAGACTGTACTAAAGCATTTATGCTTTCAGTTTCTCACAGATGGAATGCTTGTGCGAGAAATGATGGCAGACCCTCTTTTAAAAAGATACAGGTACAAGTTTAGAAATGAAAGATGCTCTCACTGGCCATTTCATTAGTGTTGGATTGGACCCCATTCTGCTTCCAGAACTACCTCCATTCTGCATGGCATAGATTTAAAGCCATGAAGAATGCTGTGCCACATTTAAAGCCATTTTTGCTTTCTATCCATATTGATCCTCAGTTTGAACCTAAGCAAGTTGTCTTGAATGCATCTAGACGGCTCTGCTGGAAGTATTTTTGAACGGGGTGCTGTGAATTTTTTGTTTTTGTTTCTGGACAAAAGACCTATGAGCCTATAGGCCTATTTAAACTACACTAAAAATAAATAAGTAAATAGATTTAGATTCACTACTTTATTGTCATATATATGCACGCAACCAGGGTCTTTAACACAGACATCAGTTCTCAGGAGAATATATATATATGCTATTAATTAAACTTCATTATAACACTATAACAATCAGTTGTGTCAAAAGTACACACATTTGTTACTTAAGTAGAAGTATAGATACTGCAGTTTAAAAACACTCAGGTAAAAGTTGAAGTATCAACCTGGCTTCTTTACTTAAGTAAAAGTGGAAAAAGTATGTGCTCCAAAATCTACTTAAAGTATAAATGTATAAAGTAAACTTTAAAAAAAAACAGCCAGACACCACTATATGAATTGAAAGCTCAATTTTTCGACTATTTAGAAAAAATCTTTGAGATAGGGCCAAGGATGAGGGAGGTCTTGTTGGTCTCCGACCTTTCAGACATTTTAACATGTTTTTCTAAATCAGACATTGTAGCATGGCATAGACCAGGGGTCACCAACCATTTCAAGGCTGAGGGCTACTTCATGGCTATTAAATCATAGGAAGGGCTACCAATACTGACCTATGAACAAGAGGGGTCAGCGTTCACCTAAACTTCATCCATAATAAACACATTTTTATTGTTAACTTTTAATTTCTAATTTTCCTTTAAACATTATAACTTTAAAATCTCTATAAATGCTAAAATGCCCTATATGATTACTATGATGAAATGCTCTATAAATGATTAAAAAGAAGAGTCACAGAATAAAATACAATTTCAAACGTAGCCCACTGCTGAGTTGCTGTTTTCAGAAGGCGTTGAGGGCACCCCATGTGGTCCTTGAGGGCCCCTTGGTGCCCGCGGGCACCGCGTTGGCGACAATTCACGTTTGGAGTTTGAAGAACACCTGCTTGCTTCTGATGATTTCCTTTAGCTAACCAATGAGTGTTTGCGTTACATGACTCATCCAATTACACTAGTTTTCACTAGATGTGGATGGAGCCAATGATCTGCATTGGATGGCGCACATGACGTTAAATTTATATTTATAAATATAAAACCGAAGCCAAGAGTAACGAGTAACGTTTGTTTTAAAAATGTAAGGAATAGAAAGTACAGATACTTGAGTGAAAATGTAATGAGTAGAAGTCAGAAGTAGGAAAAATAAGTAATGGAGGAAAGTATAGATACCTAAAAAGTTAACTTATGTACAGTAACAAAGTATTTGTTCTTCATTACTTGACACCTCTGATAACAATGTAGATTTGGTCAGCTTGCATGAACCTGATTCACTGTGTTTATGTCAAATGTGATTCTATTAACTCCAAAATCTTGTTACACAAACCACAAGGAAATAATTAAATTATGAACAGTTATTGAATAGTTCTCCACATCCATTACACAAAGAAAACAAGATCAAAATAAGACTAAAGTATATGGCTACGTTAGGTGTTCAAATGTTCAAGTGCACTCTGAGGTCGTGAAGATAAAAGTCTCTCATGAGCCGACGAATCCGAAATGCGTTTCTTTGACATATTTCCTCCACATTTCTGTCATTATTACTTTGTAAATTTGTAAATCTGCTGCTGCAAGCCAGATGCCACGCACTAGCTTGCTTGATGTTGCCATGACAACGTAACTTCGATGAGCTTGTGTTGATTAGGCCTCAGAATAATTCAATTCAAATCCAAATACACGTATTAGTAAAATAAAAAAGAACTTAAAATCATTTCCTAAAATATTCATAAGGAATTTATAAATTTAGCAAAGTATTTTTTTTTTTTAAATCTCCATCTTGCCACTAGGTGATGCTGCAGCACCCCCACTTTCTACGGCCATGCCTCCAGATGCACCAAGTTCCTGACTTGTGGCTTAGCTATTTATTATTTGTAAAAAGATGCATTTAAAAAGTTTTACCCTAATAAAACGGCCATACAGTATTTATTTTTTTTTTAGTCACCAGGTTTAATTTAGTTTTAGTTTTATTATCCTAGATTGGTCCAGGGTTGATATGGGTAACTGATTCTGTACTTTCCTCTCTTATGTTCAGTGTGTTGATGTTGGATGAAGCACATGAGAGAACTCTGTACACAGACATAGCCATTGGGCTACTGAAAAAGGTAAGACCAATAGATGCAAATTGCTAGCTCTTCAAAGTTACAGTTTTTTGACATTTAGATTTTATTAAGGTAAAACAAAGTCTTAGCAAGAAAAAAGAGAAAAGTAAAAAACACAAGATACTTGGAACAAAACAAAAATCACAAGTCATCATTGTGACCATGGTTTCATTTTTATATGAAGAGACAGTTTTAAGATTGGTTTCAGGAAAAAAAACCACCACAAAATAATGTCTAAATATGGTTTGCATGTGATTTAGTACTAATGACTAAAAGCAAAAGCATAACATGACTTCCTGTACTCTTTCACCACTTTAAGACTAGACATGTTGCATTAAAATTCTAATTAGTAAATATATCTTGGTTTCAGAAGTGTTTCTTTAATGCAGACACTATGCAAAAACATAGAAAAATGAATTTAGAATTGCCGACTTTGTAAGCAGACCTTAACACCTTTTTGCTGTTTGGCTCTTTATACAATAAGACAACTATGAGTAATTCACATTAGCTGGTTAATTAGTTTGATTATATCCTTAGATATTCAACCTGCTGTCAACCGCTAAACTTGATTGTTGGCCTAAATGTGCCAACTGTAGTTTGAAATCAGCCCTGGATAAAGCAAGGAACTTTCCCGGGGATGAAAGTGTTGATATTAAAGCTTTAATTGAGGAGCTCTTATAAAGGTATACTCATCAGAGGGGCTGACAACAAAGATTTAGCCTGTTGGTTTCCAGATAGTTTCAGAACTATTTTCCAACTGAAAATATCAAGAATGAATCCACAATTGTCAGCTGTTTGGTACTTGTTTAAAAGTAAAGCATATAACAGTTTTTTTTTTTTTTTTTTGCTAGTTAAAGCAATATTGCAAAAAGTGAAATGAAAGTTGACACATTCAGATCTCTTCACTGAGAATAACAGTTATAATATATATACTTTACTAGGGGGAATGGTGGCCTAGTGGTTAGGGCATAGAGCTTTGAATCCTGAGATTCTGAGTTCGAGCCCGACTCCCACAGACTGCCACTCTGGGTGTCTGAGCAAAGACCCTTAACCCCACACTGCTCCCCGGGTGCTGCACAGTAGCCCACTGCTCCCCAAGTGGATGGGCTAAATGCAGAGGTAAATTCCTCCAATGTGAAATCAATAAAGTACAATTATTGAGACTGCAGTTATTTAATCCCAGCCCCAGAATCTCATTGAAAATAGTTTAGGATTTGACAGCAGGAAGGATTTGCAAAGGGCCATTTTTTTTATTGAGAAACCATGTTTGCACAGTACTTTTTATACCGGTATATATTTTTTATATATATTTAAAATTTGTCTTGTTTTTAGTTCATATTTTTTGCCTTCTTCAAAATTGAACAATGATTTAAAAATAAGAGTGCTCATTCGTTGTTAAGTGAGTGAATTCTTCATGTCAATCACGAGTTATGCGATTATTAACCAATTTCACTCCAACCAAAACTCAATTCATCCAACTTCTTATTCTTAAAGACGCACTCTCATCAGTTTTCTTTGACTCTGTTGGCTTTTTCTTTGATTCTTTGACAGATTCAAAAGAAGAGGCGGGACCTGAGGGTGATAGTTGCCTCTGCCACTCTTGATGCCAAGGTGACTGCCTCATTAAGATGAACAGATTTGCTAGGTTAACAGACCAACAAAGGCAGGCAGAGGAGGAGCGTAGATGAGGTGGATAAACTGATGATGGATAGATAGCCGCATCAGGTCACAGCTGCTCTCAGCATCAAGGAAGTCTGCTAAATACGCCAAATCTGACATCTATTGTGCTCTCTGTTTAAAAATGCTTTTATTTGACCCTGCAAAAATCTTTTAATAACAGATTTTGTAGCATTTAGGCCATGTGTGCTTTAACTGTTTTGCTGCAAAGTCTTGCATGACACTTATAACTAGAAAATAAATGTTATAATGTTGCACCTTTAAAAGAAAAATAACGTTCTACCTGATGTGATATTATGTAAAGAAATTCCATGAGTTCTTCAACCTGAATGAGTCTGGGGATCCCAACAAGGACACTTGTGGAATCCTGACAGTAGAGGGACGTACTTTTCCAGTGGACATCTTCTACACTGTCAGGTAGTCCAAATAGGGATTCTGACTGAAGGGAAGATATTATATTCAACCTAAAGATGGCTGCCAAGCTTTGATCTCTGGTTTGTTGTTAGTCCAGTCCCAGATTATGTGAAGGCCACAGTGGAGACGGTGATGAAGATTCATGAGATGGAAGATGATGGGGACGTTCTTGCTTTCCTCACTGGGCAGGCAAGTGATCGTATTTCTGTCAGCAAATGCATTGTTTCTATTATCATTAAGGCATTAATATTGTTTCTTTCTTGTATTTAACTCCATTTTAGGAAGAGGTGGAGAAGGTGGTGTCCCTCCTGCAAGAACAAGCCAGAGCTCTTTCTCGATATGGTATGAAGAAACACCTGAGAATCTTGCCCATGTACTCTGGTCTACCCTATGCAGACCAAATGAAAGTCTTTGAAAGGGCTCCCCCTACTGTTCGCAAGGTAAATCTTCATCTTTCTGTGTATTGTTATTGAAAAGTATAATAATTTGGCTAAATGGCATCAATATCACTCAATTTATTTTAACCACACATATGTGATTATAAGTATTAACTTTCTTTAAATTTCTATGCAAAATAAAATACAAGGGGTGCAAATTGGGGTTATTCTTCCATTCATACATCCTTGCTTCTGAATTATTAGCTTTCCAGAAATCCTCCTATCTACGTGCCAAACTGGGTCTTTTTCATACTTTGGCAAAACAATTATTAAGCCAGCGCCTGATCAAACATTTTCTATGTTATTCGGTTGAATCTCTAATAGTAATGTGTAATATTCGCGTAGTGGCAGTTTTTTTGTAGTAATAATTAAATATTTCTTTGTTGATATTTTGATACAAAGTTGTCACTCTGCTAAGGTTCCCATTTTCAAAATTTAAATGAGAAAAAAATTTGAAAAATAGCCATTGTCTGTATCCTTTAGATTGATCTGTGATTTCTCATCCTTTTTTATTACGTGAAATAATCCACTACAAGCTGGAGTGAACTCTGGGCTTTTCTGAGACCGTTTTGCTCTGGTATTTACTTTTACACGATTCTCATCATTTTAATATTATAATGCTCGGCTTAATTTGTATTTTTTTTTTTACTTTGCTGGTCCATATAAGATGACATCTATTATGTATATTTTTTTTCCTGGTTTCTATGCTTGATGTCAGATGTGACCTCAAGATTCAATACTAGACTGAAGTCAGAGGGGTTCAACAGTTTGCTTTAAAGTGTACACATTACTAATGCTAAGTTATTACGGCGTTGTAACAGTGGAATTAACTTTCTGACAACTTGTGATTACAGTCTATTTTTTAATTTTTTATGGATACCTTTTTAATATCTAATGGTGTTTCAAAAGGATATAGTTTTAGTCCCCATTTTATTGGCTATTCTTATAAACAAAGTTGAACACTTATATGCTAAGAGTAATTCGCACTGTGAACCCCACCCTCTATCTATATATTAAGCCTTAACAGGAAGAATTTCATTTGATGCTAAAGTGGGGTTAACCACTTCAGAACTGTGCGCGGGCATCCTCTATAAAATTGTATATTAACAGCTCATTAAGTTATTATAAACAGTCTTTAGCTAAATATTAACACATATGTATAATGCTGATATTTTCATGTTTAATTTTTCTTTCCAGATTGTGGTGGCCACAAACATAGCTGAGACGTCTATCACCATAAACGGTATCATGTTTGTCATCGACTGTGCATTTGTGAAGCTACGGGCCTACAATCCTCGCACTGCCATTGAATCTCTGGTGGTCACTCCCATCTCAAAGGCCTCAGCCAGCCAGAGAGCTGGGAGGGCAGGACGAAACCGACCTGGGAAGTGCTTTAGGCTATATACAGGCACGTGTGGGTTGATGGAAAGGAATTACAAGAAAGTAACTGAGGAAACCTAATCCCTTTTGAATAATCTCTCATTTGCTTTTTTTTTTGTATTGTTTCTGCTTCCTTCAACAGAGGAGGACTACGAGAAGCTACCTGCTGCTACCGTTCCAGAGATGCAACGCTCTAATTTAGCCCCTGTAATCCTGCAGCTCAAAGCATTGGGGATAGACAACGTTCTGCGCTTTAGCTTCCTTTCTGTGAGTTTCTCCTCCACTTTGAAAGAAACTTGACAAAATATGTAACAATCCATAAGTGATGTACGGACAAGTTGGCATAGCACAAAATGAAGACGGGGTGGAAAAACCCCGATCAAATTCTGATTTTAATTTTATTGCAAAATTTTCAAATTCAAGATACAGAGTACCAACTCAGTGCTCTAAATCAGTGATTCCAAACCGGGGGTACTCATACCCCTAGTGGTCACGAGTGCATTACAAGGGATACATCAAAATATTTTATTTTTTATGTAGCTAAATAAAATAGAGCTGGGATCTGTTTTGCTTACTGAGGACCAATTTCAAAAAGAGGAAAAGGCTGGATGTAGAGAAAAGCCTGAGATCAGCTGGTTTTCACACTGAGCTATCGGAGCTCATCAAAGCAGCTCAGGTGTCTTGATGAAAACGAAGTAAAACTAATTATGTCAGTCTTACTATAACTTTTGTTCTGTGTTTTGCTCCCAATTTATCAAGTTTAAATATGATTATAGGAAAGTTTATGAGAGGAGTTCCAGTTTTATAAATACAGGTTCATAATATGATTTTATTTCGTATTTATTTTGATTACTTACAAACTTTCAGACAACATATTAATGTTTTTTTTTTGAGATGGAAAGCATAAAATGCCTAATAATTAAACTTAAATGATTAAGTAAAGTAGTTTTAATGTATAATTAGTTAGTTTACATTCCACAATCATCAATACTTTTGACTGAGAGGAGTACTCATTCACAAAGGGGTACACAAGTAAAAAAAAAAAGGTCAGTAAAAACTGATCTAAATAACAGTTTGGGGTTATTTCAGAGGTTAAATTTAGTCTTTAAACTCGGGCTGTTTTGGATCATAAAAACACAGCTGGCTTGCATCTGCATATCCGGGCTTTGTTTGGCTTCACTGCTGTCTTTTATTATATGTCGGTCAATAAGCTGCGTACTTGAAAAAAGCACATAGCTACTTATGAAGATGGACTATTTCTCTTTTTACCCAAGATAACTATGTTTACCTATTGTGGAGGAAAATAAAAGATAAATGATAAGATAAAAAAGAAAAAAACAAATTAACCAATATGTTAATGTCAGACGAAGTTGCAGCCATGATGCAACTTGCAGACACAAAAACTATGCAGAGATAAAAAAGAAAATTAAATGGTTGACATTTAACAGTTTTGTAAATGTCAAGTCGTTAGCTTTTTTGTGTTCTTGTTCAAGTTTGTGTTGTAGGTTTTTGAACATATGAAAGAAGCCCCAAAAGAGAAGATAAGTGCAGTGGAACTTTAATAAACATTTTTTGGGAGGTCTGCAGCAAGCTATACAAAGTTATTCACTTATCAACCTTTTTTTCCTGTCCAGTTGTCTCCCAGTAAATGTAACAAATCTTCCAAAGCTCATTTCTCCTCAAAGAACCGTAGATGGTTTCAACATTTAAATGGTCTTATCTTCTTCAGTTATTCTTTTAATTTCCACAAGTTTAACATCAAGCTGGGACTCCACTCCTTCCGGATCTGTAAACTCGTAATTGTCCTGGGCTGACTTGTTTGTGGATTTGCCTTTGCCTTTCACATATGCATCATAGTGTCTTGAAAATAACAGTCAATTATGGTCTTTGAAGATCTAAACCACTGATTATTTCTTAGATACACCAGATGTGAATTAACTGTCTTTTGTGGGGGTTTTTCAGCCTCCTCCAGCCCAGACTATGGTTCAGGCTCTGGAACTTCTTTACGCTCTTGGAGGTGAGAAATATTTTGCTCATCAGCAGTTTGAAAACAGGGGTTTTCCTTCAATGCATGACTCATTGCATATGTTTTTGCCTGAACATCACACAATGTTTGCATCAACAGAATGCTCCCTATTTACAGTCTACGTGTTTCATGGCAGGTTTGGACCATTACGGCCGTTTGACTGACCCCATGGGTGTGCGGATGGCGGAGTTTCCTCTCAGCCCCATGTTTGCTAAGATGCTCCTAGAGTCTGGAAACTTTGGCTGCTCCAAAGAGATAGTTACCATAGCTGCCATGATGCAGATCCAGAATATATTTGTTGTGCCTCCGAATCAGAAGAAAGATGCCGTAAGAGATTTATTTTTGCTTTTTTTCATTTTAAGCGCTTTGCTCTTCTTGAGCATAAAAACTACCCTGCTTTTTGGCAATCTGTCCCCTGCAGGCTCGTGAACACAGGAAATTTGCAGTCGCTGAGGGAGACCACCTCACTATGCTGAATGTATATGAGGCATTCATTAAGGTACAGCATGTGGACACAGGCAGTTCAGTCAGTGGCGGTTAACTCGCCATAATGTGGTGAACTCTCATAAGTAGATATTCATTGGGACTTTTTTGTTTGCTGTATTTCCTGTAGCATCAGAAAAGCTCCCAATGGTGTCAGGAGCATTTTCTTAATTACAAAGGTCTTGTCCGCGCCGTCGCAGTAAGAGAGCAGCTTCGCCGTCTCATGAACAAATTTAAAGTGCCACGAACTTCCAGTGAAGGTAAGACTTCTTCATGATTATGTTTTCAACAAAATAAGGATTTTGCAAGCAGTCAGGATTGTAGCATTACCGGTACTTGTCTGTATGTGTTTGACAAACTCATATCGCTGTCTGTTTTACACAGGTGACCCAGATGTGATCTTGAGGTGTATTGTGTCTGGATTCTTTGCTAATGCTGCTCGCATTCATCACTCTGGCTCCTATCGGTGACTATCCAATTCAGTCAGGGATAAGCCATGTTTTTAAGCTTTAAGCCTCATTATTAAGAGTCTTTTGTCTTACCAGAACTTTACGAGATGATCTTGAACTTCACATTCATCCCAGCTCTGTGCTGTATGGAGAGAAGCCTCCGAAGTGGTCAGTATGTTATGTTTCACACAATCTTTCCAAGTGCTCACTATGTAATGTGCATTAGTGGCTAAATTAGCAAAAATGTGTCAATCTTTTTCACACATATTAATATCAATCATATGTCAATCAAATACATAATAGTGCACTGACTTGGAAAAGCATCTAAATATGTAGAACACGATTACATTTAAGCTGTAATCTTAAAGAATGGGGTAAAACCTTAGTCTAAATGTTCAAAGCTGGTATCACCCAAAGGCTGCCGGCTGTAAACATTGTTCTGCGAAGTTTTTACTAATGCGTTCTGAAGGCGAACACTTTTTACTTTAGAAGAATAAACCCCACCCTCCCTTTCCTCTACCCAACACTACTCCGTGTTAATCCATCAGATAAAAACCACTCATTACACCGAGTTTTGTTAGGAAAAAATGTAAAAGAAATTCTAGAGGAAAAAGCACTTTTTTTTTTTTTACTCCCTGTTAATACGGATGTTTTTTCCGTCCTTTTCTGAAAGTCTTTGCTTTAATCTTCTCAGGGTCGTCTTTAACGAAGTGATGCAAACCTCAAAATACTACATGCGTGATGTGACTGCTGTGGAGTCATCCTGGCTGGTGGAGTTGGCCCCTCATTTTTACAAGCAGGCTAAGGTAAAAAAAAAGAAAAGAAAAAAAAAATCTATTCCACATTCACTAAATATTTATTCACTGTTTTGATTATTTCCTGCTCATTGTTGTTCTTTCATTTTTAGCATGGTTCGCTGGCCAGCAAGAGATCTAGAGTCCTCTGAATAAACCATCCGCAGAAACCCAAAGGGAAAGCAAGACAGAGTTGTTACTGTGCTCCCATCCATTCTCATTGTATATATGAAGATATGATGTATATTTGTTGTTCATGTCAAACCTATACAGCTCTTCACACTGTGGCGGTGCTACGATAGAGTTAGTGTCAGCACTTGTTAATTTTCTAGCGGGTTTGTTTGTTTACATAGAAACGAATGTTTAAGGAGGCCAGGCTGGGCCTGAATGGCACCCGTTAGAGCATTTGGTTCACTCATACCACTAGAAATATATTCTATACTCAAAGCAGGCTCAGGTTCAAGCTTTAGCTCCTGTGCCACAGGCCCAATCACACCTGGCTTCAGTATTTTTTTACAGATATGTTGTAGAAGAAATATTGAATGACGATAGACTGTGAATTGTTTCCCAATCATTGATTCTTTTTTTTTTCCTCCAGTATTTTTTTCCCCATCATGTTCTTCTTTTAAATTGGTTATCTTCACTTTGATTTTGCCCTGTTGAATTACTGTCATGTTGACCTACAGATTTTATTTCAGGGTTTTTCTTTATATTTTTCATCAGCATCGGGCTCTCTTGATACTGTGAAGAAGCTCCAGTATAGCTCAGATTTAGTGGCCTTTTCACCACACTGTGCCGATTGTTTTTTTGTTTTTAAACAGCCTCTATGACATTTCACTTTCAGAGGAAATATGTAAATACTCCCAGAATATATGTATCGCTGTGAAACTAAATTAAAAAAGAAGTGCCATTTAGGAGTGCTGTGATGACAAAAAAGCATTTAGAGACACAACCAGGAATTTAGCCATAGCAAACAACTATACACACAGTTTTTTTTTTTAAGTGTCTTAATTTATGCTTGGTTATAATATTTTATTAACCTGTAAACATTCCATGTCATCTGCATGAACCTCATTTTTGTCATATTTTTGCTCGGACCCTTAAAGCTTTACTTCACTAAGTCCACTGCTGGAATGGCACAAATATTGATATGTCTACCTTTTTGTCATTTACATGGTGGAAACTGTCTTTAGACTAGTTCAGTAAATCCGTAAAGACACCAAAAACAGATAAGATGCACTCAAACCTATTAGATTATAGGATCAAGTACAAATGCATGTTAAATGGTACTCTTACAAAGACCTATTCACTTTGTGGTTGTATTCCAAGACAAACCTGTTACATTATTGAGCATCCTCCTTTGTGCAGATGCACATGTAAGGCAGCAAACAGTAGTCGTGTGTAGCAGTTTAACTCTGAGAGTAAAACCACCATCTGTCCTTTTCCTGTGACACTCTACAATAAAGCCTTATTGTCATACACTTAACTGTATGCTTGTTGCTTTAAAACAATCCAATTGGTTCTGTGTTACTTCTCATGTAGCTTGTTCACCAGGAGGTGTCCCTGTTGTTTGACAAATACTCCTAAAGCTTCAGCTAGAAGTAAATTCAGTTAATGCTCGGGTATTAGTCAGTGTCTGAATGCATTTAATCTCTGAGGAGAGTGTTTTTTTCACTGTTAACAGATGTCAGGTTAATGATGCAGTGTGCAGCGTATGTGCGACTGCAGTTGCAGATATGTGTATGTTTTAAAAACTATGGATGTGGGCATTTAGAAAGTATTGAAATCTTTTAAAACCAGTTTTAACTCTGAAGACTGTAACATTTGCACGTATCTACTGAGTATATGTATATTATATTTAATTTTCTTTTATTTTTGGCAAATCAAGTTTTTATATGTTGCATTATTAATAAATAGGCTTTGTAAAAAGCTTTAAACAACATGACTGGTAAGAAAGAGAAGGATATTAGTATACAGTTATCAAAGGCTATTTTAAATCTGCCAACAGATTCTGGTTTGATTAGAATTTGCATCCTTTAAGTCTTCAAACACTTCAAAGAGGTAAAACAGTTCATGAGTCAATTTGTTTTAAAGAAATGTTGCTGTAAGTTAGAAATTAGGAGCAAACATTTTATGTAAATTAGAGGTTTGCTTAGGGGTTACATGACATTCACACATCAAACACATCACTGTGCTGAATAGACTAGTGAGGTGCCTTATAAATACTATACTTATTTATTTATTTTCTTACCATGGTCTGTGTAAATACTGTTTTAAATCGGTTGAAGCGTGTCCTTCTAAGCCATTTTTTAAGACGCCTGTAAAAAAGTTGTCAAGTAATCTGTTGAACAGCTGAAGACTGGACCAGAACAATGATTCAAAAATCCTGATCAAACTGGCTAGAAGAGAAAATATTAAATAGTCTGTAATGATATATATCTCTGCAAAAGCAAAATGGACTTTAAAAGAACTCGACGTGAAGAAAAGCTGGAAAATATTTAGATAATGAAGCAATGCTGCATGAAGAATAGCAAAGACCAATGACAAAACATTTTAAATTGTTATTTCTAAAAAGTAGGTATTACAACATGGTTACTAGCTTTTTTTAATGTCTGTGAAACCGAATAAAAAATCCCACAGATTAATCTTTACCTTTTCTACTTTAATCACCTTTTTTTCTACATCAATGAAAACAACAAAGGGCAGAGAAAAAAAAAACAAGGATTTATTTAACAGTGATAAAACGATCAACTCCTAAGCTATTTCTAATATGAACGGATCATGATATTAAGTATGGAATGTCATCTGATTTACTCTATAAAAAGTTTTTCAGTACATAGTTTGACTATGAAGCTTGATTTAACATGACTAATTTGCACCATATCCTTTTTTTCCATATTTCCTAAGCGGTTATTTATGTTTAAACCTTTTGATGCTTTTCCTTCGGGCCATATTTATATGAAGCATTTGTAAAGAAATCTCTGTGCATGTGTTTTTGGCTGTATGGCAAAGTGTGATTAATTAATCACCGACAGATGCTGTTAAGTTCTGTCTGCTGTCTGATGTTAAATGATTACCCACTTTCAAAGAAGCTTTATGGATTTAAATTGTGATAAAATTGTGTACAGTTGCAGCTCAAATCAAAAACAAAATTAATCCTCTGATTGAGAAATAAATTACCTTTTGAGGTTCTCCCTTCTAACAGTGGAAGGCTACTAAAAGGGTGCACACTAACTCTGGAAGCAAGCCTTTACCGCAATTATTGGAGCGCTTTATTTTTATGCTTATGTTGCATGTTTTAAATACAATATATCTTTCTGTTGATGTGAGGATCAGATGGCGGGTTATGATGCAGTGGGGCTTCGGAAACCGTTTCTTTTACAGGTGAGAAAGATGAGCACACATTTTCAATCAGTTTATTTTCCTAGCCTGTTGCCATTTACTGTAATTCTTAACGTTACTTTTCCCTAAGGAAAAGCACTCAGCGCTGTGTTAATGGGCTGAAACATATGTACTTTATAATATTTTTCCAGAGGCTTTGAACTGATTAAATGTTCTCTTCACAAACCTCATTATTTATTTTTAATTAGCACTACGTGAATGCTTTGTTTCTCTCACTTTATTGAAATTAATTTATCTCAGAAATAACCTAGTAATAAATAAATGTAAATCCTCAGTACTCCTCAAAGATTTTAAAAATAAATACATTAGTATTTAAACTAAGTTTTGCAGTTTACCTTTTAAATTTGACACTAATTGCATGATGAATAAGAAACAAAATTATATCTTTGAAGGTATATTTATTCAGTTAACTTGAGTGCAAATGTCAGTCCCATAAGACCTAGGCCTATGCAAACAATCTCTTTATTGAACCCTGCAAAATTTTTGATGTGCCTGAAGAAGAAAGATAAAAGGCATTCATTTTCCCTCACAGTGAGGATATATATTTGAAAAAAACACAAGCTTTAGTTTTGTTAGCATGAGCTGATTGACAGTTAACATTGGGGGAGTTTTGCCCTAGTAGTTAGAGCAGTGTGCTTGTGCTCTGAGAAGGTTGCAAGTACATGGTGAATCCAAACAGCCTGCACTCTGGGTCCCTGAGAAAGACCCTTAACCCCACACTGCTCCCTGGGCACCACACAATGGCAGCCTACTGCTTCCCAAGGGGAATGCAGAGGCGAATTTCTCCAGTGTAAGTTTAATAAATTAAAATTATTATTATAAACATTGGAGATGGGGGTAGTAGTCCTAGTAGAGCATATACATAAACTTCTTGAAACAACAGAACTTTTAAAAAAACATCTAGGAAATCTGGTTGACTTAAGTAGAAAAAAAAGGTATTTTGGCAAATTGTTAAATAAAACTAAAATATCTCACCATTGGGGTGGGAGCTGTAAAGGAGAAATTATTCATGTATCTGAGCCACACACTGCAAAAGTGATCTATAACTAAATAAACATGTCTGAAAAGAAGTCTATTTAGTCTTAATTTGAGTAGGTCAATAAGACAACTAGCCAATGGAATGAGTATTTTTACTCTTAAAATAAGATAATTAGATAACATGCACTTGAAATAAGACAATGGAATTGTTTTTGTTGTTCTTATTTTAAATGTAAATTGTCTTCTTCCATTGACAAAGCGTCTCAATTAACTTCAAGAAAAAAATGCACTTATTTTAGGAAAAAAAGTGACTTTTAGATTTAAATTTTTTTGCAGAGTTTGAGACAAATCTGAATATGCAAAGCTGGTTGAACCCATTAAAGACTTTGATTATAAATCCATATGTCATTGACAAAAATATCCAACTTTGTGTTGGTCAATCAAAATAAATACCCAGTGATTTATTGGATGTAACATGACAAAATGCAAAATGTCGGTAAGAATACTTTTGAATAGGGCACTGGAATTATTGATAGCATATGATAATAAACCACATTACCTTATTAATCAAGCATTAAAAAGTTAAATTAAAAGCTTTTGCAACCATGACATTTTCTACAGACTTTAGATACATTTTTCTCTGTTATTCTAGGTATCAATTGTGGCTGAAAGGGAAAGTGTCCTCTTCCACCTGATCTCCATACAAAGGACAAAAACAAGTACGACTAGAACGGCCACATTAGTACATATGTTCTCCTGTTTCGCTCAAGTGCCCATTAGTGTTTTAGAAGCACATACGTGTGAGGTGACAGCCGGAGGCCTTGGTGATTAATAGCATGCATGTGACAGAAGCGGGGTGGCAGTTTAAACAGGTTGTGAGTATGTACTTGAGCATTTTCACGTCATATTTCAGCTCTGTCAAAAAAATCATTGACATGTTCCGTCTAATACAAGAAATGTTTAACTGTTTTATAGGGGAAAGATGGGAAAGCAAGTCATGTGTGACATGTAATTACCCCTGTTCAAAGTTTGTTCATGTTTTGAAAGAAAACAAGTGGTTAATATTTCTCTACTCAGTGAATAATTAGTAATGAATGCCTTTACTTGTTTTTGGATTATTTTTCTGCCTTACAAAAGTATCAGTAGCTTTTAAAACTTATTTTTCTTTCTAGATCCACAAGCTCAAATCTGTTTTATTGTCATTTAATGTGATAGACTTTTACAATGTAGTTAATAATTTGAAAGAGAAAGGAAAAAAGTGGTTTAACTTTTTTGCTAGTAGATCACTAAAGACTGATGTGCATTTGTATTCAGCCCTTTTACCATAGATAAAACCATGCATGAGTTTGATGTTCTCTTGGCATCCATTTGCTGTTTACAAATTTGATGATAATGAAACAATGGCATAGCAATAACGAGTTTTGTTGAAGGTTTGCGCTAAACCATATGGGGGGAAAAAGCTGCCAAATGAGAGCAATTAGAACTTTCTCACCTACATGCAAATTGTTGTGTGAGCTGGGGTGCAGAACTCCGTGCATCCATCGCTGTGAGAACATTATCCTCATGTTTAAACATAGTAGTGGTAGCATCATGTTGTGGGTATTCCTTTCCTCAGCTGGAACAGAGTTGCTAGTCAGTGTTGATGAGAAGATGGCTGAAGCCAAATAGAGGGTGATCCTCAAAAAAATCTGTTGCTGCTGCAAAAGACAGTAGATAGACAGCAAGAGCTACAGTGGTGTTTAAAACATTTTGGAACTTAATGACCATGTTAATTTGAGGGATATTTACATAATTATAGATCCAAGAACATTAGAAGGGTCTTCCGTATTTGGCTTCATAAGAAACAACTATTACAATTTCCTCATTCCTTCTTAAGAAAAACGTTTCTTTTGTCACAATAGCAAAGATTGTGGTCCTTCTTTTATTGAAAATGCTTGCTGCAATTGGAAAAGTTTCATGTGGCTACTTTTAAAGTTTGCCTTTAAATAAAAGGGGGTTATTTTCTGTTGTATCAAGATTTAATTGTTCATGGATATTTCTGTCTTAAATGATTAAACTATTTTTAGAAATGCTGATTTGCCTGTTTTGCATTACCGTATATTTTTT